GAATGGATATATGAGCAATAGGGGTTGGGTGTAAATGGGAGTGCCCAGTGTGGGCCAATAGGCCCGCTGCATATTCTTCCATTCTTAAGTTCTTATAAAGCTAATTATATAACTTTAGAATTTCATTGTTATTTAACATTAAAAAAAAAGACACCAACTGTGAAATATTACCTGAGGCGCGTTCGATGAGGTTAGCTGATAACAGTTACTAGCAGACTGTTTCTTACCTGCTAGTAGTGAGCTCCTAAGGGCAAAATAGACTTCTAAATCTTTTTCCCGTTACCAAAATACAGTATCAGGTTTTCTCGCCGTATGTCTCAACCACGTTACAGCGGACTGGGTTGATAATACTGTAATAGTTTGCTCCAACCAGAAGTCCCTTTGTGTATAATTTGTCTCCGTTATATATCTGCCAAAATTATTCATAGTTTTTTCTCCTGAGATTTAAAAGTTCATAATTTAGAACTGTTCTTTGATGCGACTTGAAGACTGAATACACATATAAAAAGAAACAAAATTAAAAGAGAGATATTCAAAAAAAGAACTAAAAAGAATAAAAGTAAATAAAGAAGAAAATGATGAAACACGAAGAAATTTTACATGTAATTTACTGGAGTTAAGGGAAAGATCACACTGGCGCTGAAAGAATAAGTAAAATGCAGAGACTTAATTTTAGTTGATATATATTTTTACCATCTTTATTGTTTGGAATTCCGCTGAAGGTTTTGTGTTTTGAGAAATTATCTTTTATATATAAATTACCGTAACTTATTTACAGGTTAATATCGTACTTAAGAGACTGTTGTGACCATTACTTACACGTATGACTGTTAAGTGTTGTAGAATCTTAGTTATAGTTTATTTACAGATATTAATATGTAATAAATGTATTTAAATTAAACACATTTCTAATCATTATTGTGTTAACTTTGCGTTTCGTGTGAGGGCACCGTATAACATTACGAATCACGAAAGTAGGTCATATAACAGACCACAGTCACGCATCCAGATACGCCAATACGCTTCAATATATCCCTGTTCGCATGTATACACTGCACGTGGACCGACATCTTGAGTAATACTTAATATGAGGAAAAGTGATGATATAATGTAATAATACGTTTGTAATTGGTGCATATGAAATAAGCATTAACAAATTTCATTATTCTTACCACTAAAAATCGTTGGGTTTTGTAACTTTTTTTGTGTCGTATTTTGGTGATTCTTTTTTTTTTTACAGGTATGAAGTTCTTCAGTATGGAGACGTGGAGAAGCTGATCAAGAAGCACACAGCCGCAGATGAGACACGACTCTTTTATGTCAGTAGTGAGGATCCTTACGACGTCATCAAGATGGCACACATGGCATCAGGTCATGGTGGCCGTGACAGAATGAAAGCTCAACTTGCTCCAAAGTATGCAAACGTCGCTAAAGAAGTTTGAGAGATGTTCAAGTCTTACTGCTTCGCTTGCCAAGAAAAAAGAAAACGTCCAAAGACCACTGGAGTTGTTGTCAGGCCTATTTTGTGTAGTGATGTCAACTCTCGTGGCCAGAGGTTGATCTTGCGGACATGCACTCACCCCCAAAGCTCACTTCAAGTGGATTATGGTATATCAGTGCCACTTAACCAGGTTTGTGATCCTTCGACCACTTATATCATAGAGAGCCGTTAAAGTTGCCTTTCAACTGCTTGACATATTCCCGCTGTCTCGTGTCCCTGTAATTTATCAAAGTGACAACGGGTCTGAGTTTACAGCTCTAGTCATCACACAACTCACGGTCCTGGCCAGGTGTTATCATGGCGCGTGGTAAACCAACACATCCCCAAAGACAAGGTTCAGTGAAACGTGCCAATGGGGACACGAAGGATATGTAGATTCATTTAAATAAAAGTTTCCAGTTTTATTGTGATATTTATTTCTGTGAATTCTTTCCCTGCTTCACGTAACACCAAACAAACCTGCATCACACCAAAGTCATTTGAGCCATTTCATGAAATGATAAATGTAGAATTTCAGTCATTTCACGTAATGGCTGAAGATTTTAGGCGTCTCAAGAAATGACCAAGTGAAATAGCCAATTCGCGAAATGACTAAAAATTCCAGTCATTACGCGAAATGGCTGGTTACACACTTTGGCCGTAACATACACAAGGGCTTAACGTGCACACACACTCATACAACACCACAATAGGTTCGTCGCTGTCCGTGGATGAACAATTGCGTACCATGTTAATCTAAAAGCACAATGTAGGGACTGTAGATGTTCATGAACTAAGTTGAAAAGAGTACAGTAGTGCGCAGCCAAGTCGCATTTCTCTTTTTTTTGTGATGTGTGAAATACGACCCAGAACGACCTTGTATTCTATTTATGTATATTAAAAAAAATACAAAATTACATCACCTGGATTTTGGTGGACTTGCATTCTGGTATTGTTGGGACGCTGTAACAACTAACAACAACCAAATAATTAGTTACAATATGTTTGTAGTTGACCCACGTTTTTGTTAAATTGACTGTGCTTACTAATGTGGGTCGGGTCACCCAAACTCGTCGCAACACACAATGTTTACAGTCTGCCACCAGTGCAGGCTTTTCTCTTTCTCACTGCATCCTGTACACGATCGGTGAGTGGAGCCTTAGGCAGTGTGGTCTATTTTTTTTATAAATTAGTAAATGACTTGATTGAGAAGAATTATTTCCAGTTCCGGAATAAACAGAGATACAGCTTAAGACACCCGGACCTACTTAGATGACCCACCTAGGAACTACTTTCAAAATGACAGCGATTTTGGGCTGAAAGTAAGTGAAATGTGGCAATTATGTACCGCGAACCAAGGAATAGGGCAACAACCCGCGCTAAAAAGTTGTTAGTGATGCACAAACAATCGAAATAAACGAAAAAGAATAATTTATGGGTGCCGATTAATGATTTATTTATTGAAACTCCAAAACAAAACAAAAAATGCCGTTTGGCGCCCAACCGAAAACCCCAGATGGGCTCTGCAGAGAATACGTTTTGATTTGAAGGTGTTACCCAAACTTTATCTAAAAAGAATCATACACACGAACTACTGGTCAGAGACAGGATTAGGAGGAAGTATCTCAAACTTCGGGGTGTTAATATGAACGTTCGCTCGTAAACGACTTTCCAATTTACATTCTTTGACTAAACAAACCAACCAGATTCCGTGAAGTTTCCCCCATTATTTATAAAAATAACCTCTCAACCCTCACTCTTCCAAACGTATTATTTTTGTACTGCTGTAACATTATTCATTCTACAAATCTGTATTGTTTACGATTCTGTTATATGCATTGTATTTAGCTGTAATTGGGTTTGATATGAAATTATGTTACTCGGCTACAGTTATAATGGTCTTTGTTAATTTGTGTCGTAATCTGTAAGTCATTTACTATCAAGAGTTATATTAGTCACGCTGAAAGAGTAAAGTCAGTTCTATTTGGGATACTTAAGAATTTATACCTGTAATAATCTTGAATGTTTTGTGACTTCTTCATCAATGCCTGTGAGGGGAAGAGTTAGATGTTTAACTTAAGTTGGCGTTTATGAACACACTATTAAAATAAACATAAATAACAACTTGTAATTAATACACGTGGCATAACTTTCTGGTAATTTATTAACAGGTATGAATGTTGTTACGTCAGTTATTCATAAAGAGATCGGAGCTGGTTAGGAGACTTCTGAGATTCTTATTCGTTGTTCTGAGATTAATATCAGTTATTTTTATTTAAAATGAAATTATTTTTCTAATTCATTAGCATTGGATGTAGAAGGTGTACATAGAGGCGTATTAACTACAACGTCTTAGATGGTTGTTTAGTTTCCTGTGTACTTTTTCTGAGAGAGAATTTCAATTTCAATTTCAATTGTTCATTCCTTGATAGAGGAAGCGGGATCCTAGTGCTGTCACTAGGTACCCCTGTACAATGACACCAGAAGCATCTGGCAAGTGTGACAAGTATATACAGTATTGTTACGAGTTGGGATTTAGAATACAGTTAAAAGTCTACCCAGATCCCAACAGGCAACAACAATAAAAAAACAAAGACAATCGGACTATAAAAGGGTAGACAAAGGATGGGAGTTTTTGTTGTGTATAATAAAGTACCATAAATTCCTTAACAAAATATTCAGCTTTCTATAATTTACCCTTAACCATACTTAACCTAAACATTTACAGTATATACATATTTATACAACCTATAATAATTTAAAGCAAGGTGGAGGTGGGGGAGGCAATATAAGATTACAAATACTTAAGTGCGGAGCTGAGATGGCTGACGAGCAAGGCTGAGTATTGTAGAAGACGGTAGGTAGTCACTGTGCCGTAGGTTTCCAGGATAGGAGATCCTGTGGTCACTTCCCAGAGTGAACTGAACTCTCATCGAACTGGAGCTGATGAAGAAGACTTGTAGGAGGTGACGCAACAACCAAGATATGGAGAAGGGAAACCCCGGAGTGGTAACTAAGACTAGTCATACTCGTGTTTCGTCCCTAGATGGCGTTGCTCGTGGTGCTGGGTAGGTAGATCAGGACAATAGATGGCGTGGTTCGTAGTGTTGGGTAGGTAGATCATGACAATTGGTGGCGTGGTTCGTAACAGTATAAATATTATAAAGGGGCTTACTGAAGCCTAAGGAAGGGAAGATATTCCTTTAACACATAATCAAAATTATTTACAAAATATCTGGCCAGTATGGGGAGGACCATCGTGTCTCCGTCAGGGGGTCTTGGAGTGATGGTCCAGCAGGCGTCACGGAAGCGTTGTGTGTGGGCCGAGAGAGAACTGGAACACAATGCAGAATACAGCAGGTGGCACCAGGTTAATTGTAGTTATCGTAAACAAAATATTCTTTGATTATAATGTTAAAAGAGAAACTAGGCTAAGACCACACCAGCAATAACGACATCCCGTGTCCAGTAATACTGTTGATCTCATATATATATAAATGTTCTTGCAAGCACACACGAAGGCACCAGCTTACTCGCCGCTCACAAGCCCACTGCACCTGAAGCTAATACTCCCTTCGTTGACCGTGCACAAGAGGCATTAAGACAGGAGATATAAACTGACTTTACTACTGTTGCTGAGCTTGCAACAGTGACGTACTGTGTGTTAACACGAGTGTGAAAGGAGAGTATCGGTCCACATCAATCTCTATTGTTTGGTGGAAAAGTGAGGTAACCTTGACGACACCAACACCGAGCTATTAACTATTGATTGAGACAAACGGCCATCTACCAGGACACAACCGGCGGGCACCGTCACCATCGTGTCATCAGTAAGCGTTGAAGGAGCTGTCACACACATCTCCTTATTATGGTAAGTCCTCCAGCTCTCAACTATACTGTACACAGTATAAACGAATGCCTTACAGACATTCAGACACACAGGTTCCATAAACAAGTAAGCAAGTAGGCAGTCGAAATACTTACAATAATATTGACAATTTTTTTTATTAGTAATATACTACAGAAATGAAAGGCAATAAAGTCATAATCATAGTTAATGTTTTTCCATTAAGGAAGAAAATAGATTCATTAGCCTAAGAAAGTGTGTTATTATTGTAGAAGTCGTGGCTGGTGGTGGTGTTGATGGGTGTGGTGGTGGCTGGGGAGGATGGAGGTGAGGGAGGCCTTCAGCCCCTCCTCGGTATGTTTGGGTCATCCTGGCCTCAAGACTCACCCAGAACCTCTCATCCTACCCATACACCCATCAGTGACACCAACAACTACGTTAACACCAGCGAGAACCACGTCACCAGTCTCTGGTACCACGACAACTTCTACAGTTTAACAGACAAAAACGGTACCATCCATAAGTTGTTGAACAAAAGCATCGGCACAGGCATCCTGGACAAGGCGTTGGATTACTTGTTTAACAAGCTGGGTACAAGCTACGGCGGCGGGCAGGATGATGCTCACCTGGGTCACCACCAACTTACTCCCACCTGGTATGTTGTTCTCTTTTAACCTTCCTTATATATCATTACTGGCTGACTCTATTAACTAGTATATATACCAGATTTATAATTTAATGCCAAAATACTCGCCACGTAGCAGCTATTGGCTCCCAATATGTGTGAATAACTTATGAAAACTTGTGAACAGACAGAAATAATATTCATAACAATTTTGCGAGTGTCTGTATGCAATATATTTTCGAAATTATCGAGATATAAATGTTGAGTTGCATACTTTGACGGGGACAACCCGATTAAAAACCCTAGACCAACACTTACGTCAACAGCGGCTGAATACGCGTACCCACAAGAAAGAAGTAAATATCATGGGTACCTTGTGGAGACACTTTCCTGGGTAGGTTATGAAGATGTTCTCACTTTGTGAAGATTTAGTGTATTACGTCGCAACTCGTCATTACAGTATTAAAGTTCTTGTCTTGAAGCTGAGAGAATCAGAGGACGTATTCTAGTATGAAGAAGCAGGTTAGTACACACCCTCCTGGTTGTCAGAAGGCTTCTATATCTTGATTATTTCTGAGCTCGTCGCCACTTGTCTGTGAACCGCCCAGTCATGAGGTGGTCGTTTACTTCGCTCTTCAGAGATGTTTTACCCATAAAATATTATGAAACAACTCGCAAGGTAGTTTGAGATGCCTCAAACTTTTATTTGAGGTAAAATACGTGAATATAGCCTCGGGTGCAGCAAGGCTTAAGTAAAACAACTTCACTAATGTCTCTGTCAATATAACTGAAGCAAATACTTGTAGCGTTGTACAACATTTGTTAAGCAATTTTTCTTTAAATAATTTATTTTTATTTTTCCTCCTTTCTGAGGCGTATATTCTTCAGTAAAACATTTTCTCCGTTTTTCATGCTTTTCGTAAATTTTACTGTATTATGGTGTATTTCTCTTCTTTGACGCAGTTACCCACTTACATAACATCTTCCCTATGTCCTCATTCAGGCATCAGAAAAAGGAAAGCGTTAAAGACGATGGTTACTACGGACACAGCTCCGGGAGGAGTTATCAAGGTGACAACTGGTATGTGAGTACACCCGAGCAGTCTGTGTGTAAGACATCACTGGGTAGTTTCCTGGGTATGTGTCTGGATGTGCACACCGCGCTGACTCTCGCTGCCTTGGCCATCCTCCTCCAGTTCATCGTCTCCTTCACCATCTCGTCAATCTGTCCTGCCTCGACCAGCAGCCATCCCTTGATACTGAACATCAATACCACACACGTCTTTAACTTTACGACCGAGAAAGATGAAGATGAATGTCCGGGGGGACGTAATGATGACTGTGAGATTTGGACTGATACTCGGACAGCCCCTCGACTTTCTTACCATGATCTGTTTCCTAATCTGGAGGACTATACAGATCTATCAGGTAGTGAAGGCTATGTCTCAGTTGACAGTGAAGAGAGAAGGTATGATGAAGAGCGCGATCCCCGGCGCCATGATCTATTGACCACACTGAGAGAATGGTTAGTGCGGCCGTCGTGGCAGACAGTGGCAAAGACCTTCAGGGAATCTAGCTTCCTATCGAATTCAGACCCTTGTAAAATACTTAGAGGGTTTGTGAGTGGGTAAGTGTGATGGTGTGTCGCGCTGGCCCTTGAAGGTTACTGTTGCATGACCTTTTCCTTCCGCGTTTTACCATACAGGAGTTATTATCACCCTCAGGGTGTAGAACTGATATAAGCACCACAAGTTTGAATATACATATATATGGTTTCTATATCGGCAGTTGATGTTAAGGCTTTATAACATATACTGGTATATTTATAGTTGACTATTGGCTCCACTCCTTTATGTAAGTCATATTTATTCTGTATTTATTACTTCACTGCGTAAGTCAACGAAGATATTATATGGATTTCCAGATACTGTTTAGAGTGTGTGTTTATCTGTGTATAGATGTTTATAGTATGGCTTAGGTCCCCAACTTCTGTTGTTAAGTTATCTTTGAATCTGTTAAATGATCTTTTGATATTATTAATTATTTGTTATATTGACAATAAAATTTATTTACGTGGATCTGCATTTTTATATTTCTCAAAGTTATGATAAAAATACTTTGAAGTTTGTTATAAGGATGAAGTATACAGAGGTTAGTGTACTGTATATCTAGGAAGAACTAGAAACAAAGATGTCCATGAAAAGTAACAGGATACCAAGCTGTCCCGTCACACTAGTGTACACGCACTCCACAGATCACAAACAATAAATTCAAACTATAAGTCTCACTGTTCAGCCACTGGGGATTTATCGCCTTTACGCGGTTGTGGGTGTTAGCTTCACCAGCATTCCCCACTGACCCTATACTGAGCTTGACCTTTTGTAAGTTCAATCCCTGAACCTTCTCTCTCTCCCTCATATTCTCCACGAAAGGTCATGGGAGTGGTGAACTTGGTAAGGTCACCCACCTTCTTAGCGGCTCTATCACCTCAACTTCTCCAAAGAGTTAGAGCCGTAGGGGAAAGATTACTTATGCAAATGTTTCCAGTTAAAAAAAATCGATAGAGAAGAGATTAACATAAAAAAATCCTTTAGAGCAATTCACAAAAAGAATAAATTCCTTCCTTAGGGCCTGCCTGGGCCTGCCTGGGCCTGCCTGGGTCTAAATATGTTTCCTACCAGCTATCAACCCTGTGTCAACATAAATGACCATTCAGATAATTTTGTAGGCTGTGTTGTATAGTGTATGTGCAAGTCGGTATGATCCTGATTTTATAGGCCCATAGACGCACCACAAACAACACACATATTAACACTGACTCCAAAATATGCCAATATGACCGCTTTTCCCCTTCACTATGTTACAATTCGATTAGGTTAACTTCATACGAATTTATTTAGCACAGAGAGACCCAGCATAGAAGGGAGTACAGTTCTCTACACAAGACAAGGGCTGCTAACATCTATTGTATGGTCACATTCTTGTGTGTTTCCGGCATATTGTCAGGCAAAGTGACCTTGTGATACACGACTCAGGGTGAAACGAAGCTTTTGGCATTTTCTTTATCTTGGCCTTCAACAAGTGAAGTTATTGAGACAAAGTTGAGGAAAAGATAGAATGGTACAGTGTGATAGTGTCGTGGTGGGTGGCGGACGGCCGGTGTCGTGGCCTCGGGTGGTGTGCGTGGTGACTGTGGTTTGTCAGTTATTGGTCTTGACTGAACGGCCACTCGCAACAAAGACTCACCCTCCTCATCACCACATTTATACGTGTTTAGTGAAGAGGGTGTATGTGTGCATGTGCGTGTTTATGTGTGTATGTGTGCATGTGCGTACGTGTGTGTGTGTGTGTGTGTGTGTGTATGTGTGTGCGTGTGTGTGTGTGTGCGTGTTTGTATGTGTGTGTATTTGTGCGTGTATGTGTGCGTCCTGTCAACATTTATCTCCTACCATTTCCTATTTGCAAAATCTTTCTCTTTTTTATCCCCTCCTCTTCAATGTTCCTTTACTATGCATTTTTCTTTAACGATCTTTTTTCTTCTCATTTTTAGACGGGTTCTATTTTGTCCTGCAAGTTATTCCATTCTATTTCATATTATGTCTTTTATTTCATTTTAATGTTTTATTCCTTGCTTCTCAAGTCCTCGTTCTAACAATATTGAAAATATGTTTTCCATTTCAATTTCAAATTCTATCCGTCTTTATTTTTAGTTTCCCGAAAGATTAATTGATTTTACCCATTTTTTTTTAATCTGTAATTTACAAATTATAAACCGCACTAGACTACACACAAACCTAATATCTCTGAATCAGTAGCGATCTCACCCATTGCTCAGACGATACGTGATGGAGGGGTGAGGGACGGAGGCTGCTGGGTCCTGGGTCCTGGCGACGGTAGTCATACTAATAATAATAATAATAATAATAATAATAAAAATATCGTACCTGACAATAAACTCCATATTATCATCTAGATCTCTAATAGTGATAAAAAAGTTTAATATTTATATGAAATTTATCATTCTTTATAATGGCGGGTTAAATATATAACCAGAAATGCAACTAGGTGAATTTATAAAGGTTAGTCATATGCCTGGCAGTTGCAAAAATATTCGCTCCTAGCAGTCATGGTTGTCAAATGTCTGTCAGTAACTCACCAAAGGTACTAATTTGAACAGAGTTGGTTGACTGTTGCAAATAAAACGTGTGTGTGTGTGTGTGTGTGTGTGGGCGTTGTTTTAAGCGGCGCAGAAGTTAACGTCTCGGTTGGTTTTCGGTTGGTTTTCAGTCGATCAGCAAAAACCCGCTTCTAACCTCTACCTTGCCACTTGGGTCTTCACTCTCTCCTCACTATCACCCCATGTTTATAATGATCTTAAGGTTTAATATTGTACACCGACACACACACACATACTAATTGGTCAGCCCATCTTAGACGTATACAGTAGTATAGTATCTGACATTGAGGGTTGGCTCATCTCATCTCAGAACTGTGTCGTCTCCCTCGCTGATAATTTGTGGGTCAGTCCGCGTCTCCCTGCCCAGTACCGTGGCTCACCATAATCAACACCTTGGCCATGGGTTGTGCTGTATCTTTGCATGATGATTTCCAGCAAACCATTACAAAAAAAGTCTATTTTCACTTGTAGATCTATTTAGTGTTTATTTCTCCATGCTATTATTGGAGCAAGTAGATTTCCCAATTATTTTACATCATCTACGTACTACATTAATACTAGCGTGTGTGCGTGTGGTTCAGCCAATTTAGCGTGGTTACTCCTGCAAATCTCTCTGATCTTCCTTTCAAATTCTTTCCTGCCTTCACCAGTATGTCGTTCATATTTTGGGGTTTAACTTTTTTTTTCTGTATTATCTTCATCTTTCATAAACCTCATTTTTTTATCCAGTTTTTTTTCATTATTTCTATAGTTTTAGCAAGTCGGTCACACACGATGATAGGGAGAGAAAAAATATAATTATAAAGTTTTCAATAAATATATAATAGTTTAATATACAACTAACAAAAAATAAATATACACAATTACTAAAAAAATACAAAACACATTTGATCTATTTTCTGATGTTATTATAATTTACACATTTGCTTCTGATCTGAGAATAAACTATAATAAATCATGATACATCTCATCAGTCCATACAGAAGGCGGACCTCCATATACCAACAATACCCGACTAGTGAGGCATTGTTTGTAAATCAGAATATACCTATGTTACTTGCGTGTAATACAACTATTGTATTCTAGCTCCCCTACGCTCTGTTTACAACATTGACAAACACAACATAATTTTTTACCATTTCCTGTCATCCAATAAACTACTCTCTCTGTGTTGCTGACTTTGTGAATCTCTGATGGTATGCTTGATGTAAACACTCGCTCCATAAAATATCTTCACGATTTTAATGTAAGCAATATGACACAACGGACGTAGGAGTGTCATGACCCGACCGAGACAACAGGGGTCGCAGTGTTCATTTTGAAATTCATTGATCCCTTCTGTAAAGATACTTTTTGGAGAGAGAGAGAGACGTAATGACTAACACGACACTTGCAGAAACGAATTAATAAAAGAAAGGACGGAGAAGAAATAAATAACAATAAAAAATGCTACTGCTGGTATTCAAGAAACATTTCCCCTCACATGAAGATATTCCAGATTATTGACGGAAAATTATGAGTTATTTTCCCAGAATTTTGACGAATAGTTATGTTTTGACTAGTCTGTATATATTTTATATATTTTAATTTACAGACAACTCTACAATTCATAATTCTGAGAAATATGTGTGCGTGTGTGTGTGTGTGTGTGTGTCTGTGTCTGTGTGTGTGTCTGTGTGTGTGTGTGTCTGTGTGTGTGTGTGTGTGTGTGTGTCTGTGTGTCAAATTTTGAATAATATGAAAAAACAATAACATCAAATATGATTGACGGGCCTTAACACAAATGACCTTACTTGACCTTACAACCTTACTCAACCAAGCAACCATACTTAACTTAATAACTTTACCTTTACTTAAAACCTTACTTATCTTGATATTACCTAAAAATTGTTAACCTAACCCAACCTAACCTAAATGCAATGTTTCAGTTGATATACAGTATATAACCACATATTAATACGTCTACCTCTGTGGATTTCTAGTTATTGATTAGTCCAAGTCTAAACAAAGGTGAATACTGGATATTAGCTTATGCTAGTTTTATTGGCTATACCTGGTCGAATCGGACTATAAAAGGGTAGACAAAGGATGTGAGTTTTCGTTGTGTATAATAAAGTACCATGAATTCCTTAACAAAATAATCAGCTTCCTATAAATTACCCTTAACCATACTTAACCTAAACATTAACAGTATATACATATTAATACAACATAAAACAATCGTGAAGCAAGGTGGAGGTGGGAGAGGCAATACAAGATTACAAATACTTAAGTGAGGAGCTGAGATGGCTGACGAGCAAGGCTGAGTATTGGAGAAGACGGTAGGTAGTCACTGTGCCGTAGGTTTAGAGGATAGATGATCCTGTGGTCACTTCCCAGAGTGTAGTGCTCTCTCCTCGAACTCGAGCTGACAAAGAAGACTTGGAGGAAGTGACACAACAACCAGGATATGGAGAAGGGAAACCCCGGAGTGGTAACTAAGACGAGTCATACTCGTGTCTCGTCCCTAGATGGCGTTGCTCGTGGTGCTGGGTAGGTAGATCATGACAATTGGTGGAGGGGTTCGTAACAATATATATATATTGTATGTCTATATTGCTAATATACAGGCTAAATCAATGTAAAAGTATATGATTGTTTACTGAATAAATATCTATCTATATACAGTATCTATCAATATATATATCTGGGTTGAATATGGCTTTTATACATCATATATTCATATATACAATATACGACAGCTGCATCAATATACTAAGTAGTCTCCATGGTTAAGTTACTAACCCTTTAGAATCGTTTACTCTAGAGGCTTGCCCAGAAAGAGGCTTGAGTTCAATTCTGCGGCCAGTCAGGGTTAATGGGGCATCACTTTTGTGTAGTGCTCGTTGGGTTGATCAGTAGCCTCGTCTTTCGCCTTGGCTAAGCTTATCTAGATCGCTTAAGGAACAGGAGTCATGGTCAGTCGTCCATCAACCAGTTCGTTATAACATTAATAATTGTCAGCGAAGTACATGAAGAATTTGATACATATTGTAAGTGTAAAATCGATGGTTAAAATACCACACAATATAAACTTTGTGAATACTTAATTAACCGAATATATTTAATAATATTTGCTTTTGATTATTTTATTACTCAAATATGATAAATGGGAGTCAGATTTAACCTGTGACGAACCGTCTTAGTGCTGGACAAACCTTGGAACTTGTGTAGAAGCAAGACTCACCTAAAGCCCTGGACACTACCTAAAACACTCTTCTTCACCGTAACCAACAGATCACACCCGAACACACCACCAAGATCCCATCCTTGATTCTGGCTTCCATCTTTACTCTCGTCAAACAGCTTAAAACGAGCACAAGTTGAGTCATTAGATGTTGCCAGTAGTGGAAACAGTTCATGGTCAAGGTCCTCGTAGAGATTCTCAGTCATACCCCAAGTAAAATATTCCCTCTCCATGATGATCTGAAGACAACGACGAGTCAGTGTATAAATTGAATCATTATGCCGTTGTTGAAAGTCCTCATTGAACTGGAATTGGTCTTGAGGGTGTTCTTGGTCCTGGCTTTGTGAAGGGCCGATCGTGAAGATGTTTCCATTTTTGGATAGCGAGAATAATATTGTTAAAACGGTTGAGCGAACCCCCGCCGTCGCTAGAGCTCGTGTCACGGAAGAAAGTAACAGAGAAGCAGAGAATGAACTGCAACAGGAGTGCCAATGCTGCGATGGACAGCGCCTTGCTTATGGCCAGGCACAAGCTACTGCTGTGGTAGTTCCTTTACATATCAAAGCAGTTACTGTACAGTCGTCCTTTTATTCATTGGGATACCAGACAGAATCACCGTACTTGCCTTTTCTGAAGTTTCTGTTGTAAAGATCTAGATATTAATTTTATTCTTATTCACCTCTGTACGGAAGATCGCCAAAAGATCGAGTGTTCTTTGGGATATCTATGGTGAGGATTTTTGAACAATCGAAGAGCCAGAGACCACATGACGCTGTTGTGGTAACACTGGCAATTACGCCAAAATGTCATCAGCTAACTACGGATTTTCCATAGTAAGTTCGAGGGAATGCCTCACCCTCGGCCAGGAGTGGTAGGTCCCGGACCAGCGATATTTACCTGCTAAATAAGGCTAAGTACAAAACCTCACACTAGTCCAAGAGCTTGAAAACAGCTCATAAGACCTTATATCTCTCCATCTCAGCCACTGACTCCCTTTGTGAACAAATATTCTCAAAATAACGCTTAAAATCAGGACTAAACTTACACCAAAGTCCAGATTCCAGTTTTCTGTGCCCCCATCAGACTTAACCACTGACAAATGATCTAAGTCCTGGACAATAATTTGAATTCAATAAAAGGCGAGACTCCCTAAAGTTCCGGAACATTGTCTGCCACGTCGGCCACATTAACCATTCTGTCAGCGGAGTCAGTAGGTCAAAGCCTCTGCGACTCTGACCTTCTTGCTGGTCTTTATCTTTACTCTGAGATGACAGACTAAGACGATCACGTGATGGCCCTGTAGGTTTCTTCTTTATTGGAAACAGATCATGGTCGAGGTCATCATACAGATCCTCATAGTCAAATATTTCCCCTCCGTCTTCGAGCTGATCTGAACGACGGCGTCGTGAATTCCGACCGTCTAGGGCTCTAGGAGCAGATTGAGATTGATACTGATACTGAGATTGATCTTGTTCCTGATACTGATCCTGAGATTGATCCTGATATTGATCCTGATACTGGTCCTGATCTTGACTCTGGTATTGTTCCTGGTCTTGTTCCTGGTCTTGATATTGATCCTGAGCCTGAACCTGTGTTTGACTTCCTTCCAAGATGTTGATATTGATATAGTTTGTGTTAGTAAATTCTGACTCGGTGTCGTCGTCGTCGGTGCAGAGGGACGAGACGGAGTAGGACAAGGCCAACTGGAGGAGGATGGCCACGGCGGCGACGGCGAAAGAGTTTTGGATATTGAGACACTTTCCAAGGACGATACCCAGTGAGTTCCTACACACACGATTATTTCTCATACTTAAATACGAGTTACCATCTTGATAACTCCCGTAGCTGCGTCCGTAGTAACCATCGTCTTCCACTTCTTCACTCTTCTGATGCCTGTGTGAGGAAAAGAAGAAATGCTTCAAAACTTGCTCTATTGTATTGACGGAACATCAGTGTAAATGTATTACACGATTGAATAATAAAGCTTCAGGTGCTGACAGAAAGCTTACATAACATCCACCAGGACCCACACCATAATTGTACATTAATAATACAGTAAAGGCTTGAGGTAATGTTCTTCATCAGGAATGGAACAGAGACCTGACCTTTTTTACGGGGAATAAACCACCTTTTGAGTTTCACTACAATGCTCAACATGGGCATGATGCTCCATAAATGCCCCTTTTCTTTGACGGCCTTGCAGAGGAAATAGTTAAAGTTAGACACACCTACGGGACAAAATGAAACTGACTGTTTGGTGGAAAAAACTGTAGTGAATATAGTCAAAGAAAAAATTAAAGTAATTACATTGTGGCTAAAACGAGGCTCAGTAGAATCAAAGTTACAATAATTATGAGACTTCTAAAATTATTGACGATTTTATAAAAACAAAACAAACTAAGAATGAAATCTGTTTTAGACTAGTGGGAGAACTCAGGGAAGACTTCATGAACGACAAATAAAAAAAATCCTATATATTATATATGAAAAAGTTACAGAAGATGATCAAAGGAATTTAATGAAACAAGAAAAGATAAATCTGGAATATTACTGCTTGAACACATTTGAATAAACATTAAAAGTAAAGGATATTTGTCAGTGTTACTAAATGTAAACTGTACTCCTAATATAGAAATACAAGGAAATATAATATTATATGAAGACAGTGAGAATACTTTAGAATAAATTACAGTATCCTTAAAGAATATGAAAATGATAAGAGCCTCTGGACACGATGGTGTCTTATCTGTGTATGGTGAGCACTGGACGTCGTGACCTCAGCCAGGGACTTACTCTCACCTCCCAGATGAATTTAGAAACCAAGATAATCATATCCAGAAAACAGATGAGCTTGTCACAAGCTCTAAAGCAGATACACACAGAACCCAAATAAGACCAAACTCATAAACAGAGACAAACTGACCACCTGAGTTATGTATCCTCCAGTCAGAACTTTCAACTCTTAATACCCTTCCTTAGATAACATAATACTTTTTATTGCCAGCTCCAATTCACGACAGATTAATATTTCTGGAGGTGGAAGGATTAACAAAGTGAATAGAAACAAATCTGGGAATTTTAGAGGAATCTAACTTTTGCTCCACAATAGTAATGTAAACTATAGACTATTGGATAGAAGGTTAAGAACAATTGGTGGAAGTTAAGATCATTTACAGACAAGTCGAGGGAAAGGTACGTAGACCTACACCTGAGTTTATTTAGATCTAGGGAAATAATGTACCAGAGAGACAAGACAAATATAATGGAACTCTAGAAGACCGATAACACTAATAACTCTTATACACGTTATAAAAACCTTCTATAAAACAGTTATATAGGAACAAGATAATGGAAGCTGGTGTAGAGTAAATATAAACTTCGTGGCTCAGTTGATAAACTTTAAGTATTTCTAAACTTTTGCTTCGTGGTAAAGACGACAGAAATAACCTTTAGTTACTCTCATACTTTAGGAAGTTTTCTGCTGAAAATAAAATGTGATTTGATGAGATAAGAGGAAATGAAGAGCACAGTTGTGGGCGTTGGGTCACTCTTCCACACATACCAAGAACGACAAGACAAGCTTCACCGTTGTAGATATGATATAAAATATAGAAGGTCATACCAGGTGGGAGTAAGTTGGTGGTGACCCAGGTGAGCATCATCCTGCCCGCCGCCGTAGCTTGTACCCAGCTTGTTAAACAAGTAATCCAACGCCTTGTCCAGGATGCCTGTGCCGATGCTTTTGTTCAACAACTTATGGATGGTACCGTTTTTGTCTGTTAAACTGTAGAAGTTGTCGTGGTACCAGAGACTGGTGACGTGGTTGTCGCTGTTGTTAACGTAGTTGTAGGTGTTGTTGGGCAAGTTTTCATTGATCATATAGGGAAGATGAAAGGATTTGGATGAGTCTTGATGCCAGGATGATCCAACCATATTGAAGGAGGAATGTTGACGTCCCTCACCTTCATCCGCCACCAACACCACCACAGCCACTACCACCACCAGCCACGATATCTGCAATGTTGACACACACTTTGTTAACTGAATGTTACGAAACATTTTCTTTATGGCTGAATACTGACTAAAGTTGACTTATATTCACTGAATCACGGATGAAATACATGAAAACCCTAATGGCCTGTTAAATAAAATCAGCACTAAACTGTACCTGTTATGTCTGTTAATTCCCACTATAACCTTCAATATATCTCCAGTTAATACAATAGTAATTATATATAAAGAGCTTTATGCTATGATTATAGCCATACGAGTTGAGGTGTGTGTGTAAAAGACGTTCATCGCCCCAACACCCTGAATTTCTATTATGTATTGCTTTATTTCACGGTTGTGAGATAGTATGTCGCACATTTTTAGGCTAAATATACTCCTATCATGTTCCAGTAATATCACTGCACACTTTACCTTTTATATAAATCTTTGTAACTTCTTATAGTGACTTTTGTTTACTTAAATGATTACTAATATATGCATATCATTTTTATTTCCCGAGAAAATGCAATAATAAATAAATTATTATCTTCTCTATTGTTCCTAAACATGACAATGATATCCTGACTCAGTCCGTTCACTTGAACTAAACAGTAAGATCCTAAAGCAACAATTTAATAATAATAGACACAAGTAAATGATTATGGCATAAGTTTTTGTTGTGTGTAATCTAAAAATAAATAAAAGTCAGCTTAATAAATTAGACGCCAACTAAATTCATCTAAGATGTCGTAACGGTAACAACATCCAAATAAATAATTATGACGTAATATCACCGAATTAATTAATTTCACGATGTTGGTGTAAGGGAATATATTCTTAAGTGGAGGAGGACTTGCCGTGATGGCTTACAACGTCAACACGGTGGTGACGCTGCCTATTGGTTGTATCCTGGTAGGTGGTAAATCTTCTGAGTCAACAGTTAAATGGTTAAGTGTTGGTGTCGTCACGGTCACCTACAGTAGTTTCACACCAAACACTCTACACTGGTATGGACCGACACCCTCCCTCACACACGTATCAACACACAACTTTCACAAACCTTTAGCATTTTCAGTAAGGTCTGTCTCACACTGTCGATGGGAAGCTACAGAGTACTCCCACACACTGAACGTCTATGGTAAGCTCCGCTGCCACTGTTGCCAACTCTATTCGTTCCTGATGTTTAGCGACTTTGACGACGGTACTCCCTGAGTCACGTTAGTTCTTTCCGTTACATATGGCTCTCTAGTATAAACCGGTCTGTACTGAACACCATCCAGGAGTTATTTACGGCGTTTAACTTCTACTGTTTGAAACATGTTTGAGAAGTATGCTAATGCTCCCGGCTACCACACACTAGTCTCTGCGATGGAATATTAAAAAATAAAGCAATAGGATGTAGGACTTCAGTTTTCCTGAAGGACTGATAAATTGAAAATTGTGTTTGTGATATAGAGAATTAGTTTGTTACCGATGGAATGGATTATTAATAGTCGAGTCAACGGGCGTGTACAGAGATCTCAAGGAAGCAATCCTTCACGGATGATCCCTGAACACTGAGTTGGAAGGGAGCACTCTCTCTCTCTCTCTCTCTCTCTCTCTCTCTCTCTCCCTCTCTCTCTCTCTCTCTCTCTCTCTCTCTAGTGAGAGTGGTGGCTGTAGTCTGAGATAACATTAATATAGTCTACATCTCTCCTAACTGTTAAACCACGAGTAAACTTCTTTGTCAATAACATTTACAGAAATATGATTGACTTGCTCACTCACTAAGGAAGTGACCAGGTATAATGAATATTACCTTCTTAAACCAAATAACAACATATTTAGCAACACATCCACATGATAGATTTATTCGGTGTTTCTTCTCATTACTTCTAGTTGTCACTCTCACAAGGCGGACAGACGGATGGATGGGTAGTGTTCCAACACTCACCTCTGAGGCGTCGCGTCGCGTTGGAGGAAAAAAGAGAACCTCTGACATCATTAACAAACTTGATCTTTGCAGTCTTGTTATCCTTAACTTTAGGCTGTTCCCTAAGCGAATATAATCCAGACCCGAAGTCCTGACAGATTCACCAAATAAGTCCAAATTGTGTCAAATTTTCTGATCAAATATTTAACTGTGAATATGGAGCTACAAATACCACTCCTGCTCCACACTAAAAGGTTCTTAATCAGTGGTTCAGTGTTGGGCCAATATTTGATCAAATTGTCTTCTAGGCAGCGAAAAATAAGTTAACACTCTTGTTGCGTGGCAACTCTTAGGATAACTGTGTAAGTAAATCATTACAAGTATACTATCCAAGAATCCCTGATCCTTATAACGTCTCAGTCAACATACTCGACCACTTTACTACAGATCAAAACTAAAGACTTTGGTAACTGCAACATTTTTTGAAGACGAGTTTATGAATGAGGTGCAGCGATACTGTCTTGAGTTTAACATCACCTCCAATACTTTATTCCTACAGTGGTCACAGGTCACCTGGGAACTATGTGAACCTCACTTTATATTTGTGTAGATTTGTGCAAGACTAAAGGAGTAGAGAATAGAACTGAGAATCTAGATTGTTTTATTAAATAGATTTTCCTATGAACATCACCTTTTCTATCAGTATATTTCAAAACTATAAAACTTTTGAAAAAAAAAATGTAAATGATAATAATATTTAAACACAACACTTTGATCAGTTTATTAACATGAGCCTGACTATCACCAAGGCTTTACACATGAGTGTTCTAAAGACCTGATCTTTGTAATGGAGTTTTTTGCTGTTTGTTTTCAACCACAATAAATCGAGGTTCAACTGTTTTAGTCATAGTCAATGATGGTCACCGAAACCAAGCTTTAGTAGTACAGTTAAGTACTCGTCTTTATACACAGTGGCCCAGAAGTCTGAACACGTCTTGTAACTATATTTTTATTGTTATAGATATACAAAGTAATCATGGAAGCAATAACTCGCTACCAACGTATAAACCTTGAGTAATAGGACAGTAGCAGCACCTTGTACCGTACAGTAGTTGTCCCCGGGGATGGGTGGCCGCGGTCATTGTCGCGTTCCTCTTAACTCACCAGCTACTGTCTTGATGCATGAATGTTCTTACATAATTCAAACAATATTGGAATAGTTTTTTCTTATAATTACGTTAGTTTGCTGCACCATTTGATATCGGCCACACTACGGACTTATTGGTCACAATCTCTGGTCACATGATATTTTTGGTCACATTAAGAAGCGACATTCGCCACACTGATGCACATTACCTGAGGCACTCGGTTGAGAACCACTGTCTTGCACATCGACCTTTTCCCAGTCTATCGCTGGGAGCTCAGCACTGCCCCGTGTACCTTAAGGGGGAAGCCTTAATCTCCTCTCACTGTGACGTGACATAACAAAGCCGTAGTCTGCTTGAGCCTTAGCAATGATTTGCCATCTTATTTGGGATATGCCTTAAATATTCAGGAAATAACACGATCAGGCATAAAGTACAGCCGTTGTGCAACTGGAATGTTATTATGTTCAACTGGGCCTAAACACGCCGCCAGAATTATTTTGGTTAATTAAAGAATTATTTTAATTCTATTGATGGTACAGTCAATACTTTATTTTCTAGGGAGGGGTTGACTTCTTGTTTGGATAACTAAGCTTGTAGATTCCTGATTGGCTGATTATATTGATGTTATTGTCTATGCGTGATTTTATTGGCTAAAATAGTGGAAAGATATTGCACGTACTGAAGGTCTTAGCCCCAGTTTTGTATTGGCATGGCTCAAGGTGGAAGGACTATTGTTACCCCATATAATGTTCTTCATATAATGGAGACCTCACTTGGATTATGCGCTTCAGTTTTGATCACCGTATGACAGGATGGATACAGAATCCCGAGAAAGCATACAGAGGAGGATGACAAGACTAATCCCGGGTGTGAGGAACCTTGAGTATAGAGACAGATTAAAGCATCTGAATTTGCACTCCCTCGAGAGAGGTAGAGGGCATGATGGGCGATATTATTGAGGTGTATAAATGGAAGGCAGGGTTAAACAAAGAGTATTTAACAAAAGTATTTATATCTAACCAGGAGCGAACTCGTAACAATGACTTTAAATTAGATAAATTTAGATTTAGGCGAGAAATTTGTAAACACAAGTTAAACAGCAATATAATGATTTGGTGACGTTTTGGTAATATAGTTTTTCATCATTAGATCTAAAACACATGAAGTAATAAAGTCTCAATATGATAAATAACATTAATACAATATTGCGTGAATAACTCCAAGCTCCTTATGCTAACAGTATACATTAAAATATTATCTCTAAGAAATGATTATTTAAACATTTAGATCAAAATGATAAGAAGCTCAGGACCCAATACATAAGATAACTATGCAAAGAAAAGCAAATACGTTATATACCAGCAAGTACAACACAGTGCGTGAAGACGACACACCTTCATCAGCCTCTGTATTCTGACAATGACGGTAATAACACACAATAAGACTTAACCACTGACAAATGATCTAAGTCCTGAACAATAATTTGAATTCAATAAAAGGCGAGACTCCCTAAAGTTCCGGAACATTGTCTGCCACGTCGGCCACATTAACCATTCTGTCAGCGGAGTCAGTAGGTCAAATCCTCTGTGACTCTGACCTTCTTGCTGGTCTTTATCTTTACTCTGAGATGACAGACTAAGACGATCACGTGATGGCCCTGTAGGTTTCTTCTTTATTGGAAACAGATCATGGTCGAGGTCATCATACAGATCCTCATAGTCAAATATTTCCCCTCCGTCTTCGAGCTGATCTGAACGACGGCGTCGTGAATTCCGACCGTCTAGGGCTCTAGGAGCAGATTGATATTGATACTGAGATTGATATTGCTCCTGATCCTGAGATTGTTCTTGATACTGCTCTTGACTCTGTTCTTGACTCTGCTCTTGGTACTGATATTGACTCTGGTCTTGGTACTGATATTGATCCTGTTCCTGTTCCTGATCCTGATTCTGAGTTTGACTTCCTTCCGATATAGTAATATTGATATAGTTTTTGTTTCTAACAGCTGGTATGTCGTTGTCGCCGTCGTCGGAGCAAAGGGAGGAGACTGTGTAGGACATGGCCAACTGAAGGAGGATGGCCAAGGCGGCGATAGCGAAGGTGGTTTGAATATTGAGACAATTTCCAAGGACGATACCCAGGGAGTTCTTACACACACGAGTATTTCTCATACTTAAATACGAGTTACCATCTTGATAACTCCTGTAGCTGCGTCCGTAGTAACCATCGTCTTCCACTTCTTCACTCTTCTGATGCCTGTGTGAGGAAAAGAAGAAATGCTTCAAAACTTGCTCTATTGTATTGACGAAACATCAGTGTAAATGTATTACACGATTGAATAATAGAGCTTCAGGTACTGACAGAAAGCTTACATAACATCCACCAGGACCCTTACCATAATTGTACATTAATAATACAGTTAAGGCTTGAGGTAATGTTCTTCATCAGGTATGGAACAGAGACCTGATCTTTTTTACGGGGAATAAACCACCTTTTGAGTTTCACTACAATGCTCAACATGGGCATGATGCTCCATAAATGCCCCTTTTCTTTAACGGCCTTGCAGAGGAAATAGTTAAAGTTAGACACACCTACGGGACAAAATGAAACTGACTGTTTGGTGGAAAAAACTGTAGTGAATATAGTCAAAGAAAAAAATTAAAGTAATTACATTGTGGCTAAAACGAGGCTCAGTAGAATCAAAGTTACAATAATTATGAGACTTCTAAAATTATTGTCGATTTTATAAAAACCAAACAAACTAAGAATGAAATCTGTTTTAGACTAGTGGGAGAACTCAGGGAAGACTTCATGAGCGACAAATAAAAAAATCCTATACATTATATGAAAAAGTTACAGAAGATGATCAAAGGAATTTAATGAAACAAGAAAAGATAAATCTGGAATATTACTGCTTGAACACATTTGAATAAACATTAAAAGTAAAGGATATTTGTCAGTGTTACTAAATGTAAACTGTACTCCTGATATAGAAATACAAGGAAATATAATATTATATGAAGACAGTGAGAATACTTTAGAATAAATTACAGCATCCTTAAAAAATATGAAAATGATAAGAGCCTCTGGACACGATGGTGTCTTATCTGTGTATGGTGAGCACTGGACGTCGTGACCTCAGCCAGGGACTTACTCTCACCTCCCAGATGAATTTAGAAACCAAGATAATCATATCCAGAAAACAGATGAGCTTGTCACAAGCTCTAAAACAGATACACACAGAACCCAAATAAGACCAAACTCATAAACAGAGACAAACTGACCACCAGAGTTATGTATCCTCCAGTCAGAACTTTCAACTCTTAATACCCTTCCTTAGATAACATAATACTTTTTATTGCCAACTCCAATTCACGACAGATTAATATTTCTGGAGGTGGAAGGATTAACAAAGTGAATAGAAACAAATTTGGGAATTTTAGAGGAATCTAACTTTTGCTCCACAATAGTAATGTAAACTATAGACTATTGGATGGAAGGTTAAGAACAATTGGTGGAAGTTAAGATCATTTACAGACAAGTCGAGGGAAAGGTACGTAGACCTACACCTGAGTTTATTTAGATCTAGGGAAATAATGTACCAGAGAGGCAAGACAAATATAATGGAACTCTAGAAGACCGATAACACTAATAACTCTTATACACGTTATAAAAACCTTCTATAAAACAGTTATATAGGAACAAGATAATGGAAGCTGGTGTAGAGTAAATATAAACTTCGTGGCTCAGTTGATAAACTTTGAGTATTTCTAAACTTTTGCTTCGTGGTAAAGACGACAGAAATAACCTTTAGATACTCTCATACTTTAGGAAGTTTTCTGCTGAAAATAAAATGTGATATGATGAGATAAGAGGAAATGAAGAGCACAGTTGAGGGCGTTGGGTCACTCTTCCACACATACCAAGAACGACAAGACAAGCTTCACCGTTGTAGATATGATATAAAATATAGAAGGTCATACCAGGTGGGAGTAAGTCGGTGGTGGCCCAGGTGGGCATCATCCTGCCCGCCGCCGTAGCTTGTACCCAGCTTGTTAAACAAGTAATCCAACGCCTTGTCCAGGATGCCTGTGCCGATGCTTTTGTTCAACAACTTATGGATAGTACCGTTTTTGTCTGTTAAACTGTAGAAGTTGTCGTGGTACCAGAGACTGGTGACGTGGTTGTCGCTGTTGTTAACGTAGTTGTTGGTGTTGTTGGGCAAGTTTTCACTGGTCATATTGGGAAGATGAAAGGATTTGGACGAGTCTTGATGCCAGGATGATCCAACCATATTGAAGGAGGAATGTTGACGTCCGTCACCTGCATCCGCCACCAACACCACCACAGCCACTACCACCACCAGCCACGATATCTGCAATGTTGACACACACTTTGTTAACTGAATGTTACGAAACATTTTCTTTATGGCTGAATACTGACAAAAGTTGACTTATATTCACTGAATCACGGATGAAATACATGAAAACCCTAATGGCCTGTTAAATAAAATCAGCACTAAACTGTACCTGTTATGTCTGTTAATTCCCACTATAACCTTCAATATATCTCCAGTTAATACAATAGTAATTATATATAAAGAGCTTTATGCTATGATTATAGCCATAGGAGTTGAGGTGTGTGTGTAAAAGACGTTCATCGCCCCAACACCCTGAATTTCTATTATGTATTGCTTTATTTCACGGTTGTGAGATAGTATGTCGCACATTTTTAGGCTAAATATACTCCTATCATGTTCCAGTAATATCACTGCACACTTTATCTTTTATATAAATGTTTGTAACTTCTTATAATGACTTTTGTTTGCTTAGATGATTACTAATATATGCATATCATTTTTATTTCCCGAGAAAATGTAATAATAAATATATTATTATCTTCTCTATTGTTCCTAAACATGACAATGATATCCTGACTCAGTCCGTTCACTTGAACTAAACAGTAAGATCCTAAAGCAACAATTTAATAATAATAGACACAAGTAAATGATTATGGCATAAGTTTTTGTTGTTGTGTGTAATTAAAAAATAAAATTAAAAGTCAGCTTAATAAATTAGACGCCAACTAAATTCATCTAAGATGTAACGGTAACAACATCCAAATAAATAATTATGAGGTAATATCACCGAATTAATTAATTTCACGATGTTGGTGTAAGGGAATATATTCTTAAGTGGAGGAGGACTTGCCGTGATGGCTTACAACGTCAACACGGTGGTGACGCTGCCTATTGGTTGTATCCTGGTAGGTGGTAAATCTTCTGAGTCAACAGTTAAATGGTTAAGTGTTGGTGTCGTCACGGTCACCTACAGTAGTTTCACACCAAACACTCTACACTGGTATGGACCGACACCCTCCCTCACACACGTATCAACACACAACTTTCACGAACCTTTAGCATTTTCAGTAAGGTCTGTCTCACACTGTCGATGGGAAGCTACAGAGTACTCCCACACACTGAACGTCTATGGTAAGCTCCGCTGCCACTGTTGCCAACTTTATTCGTTCCTGATGTTTAGCGACTGTGACGACGGTACTCCCTGAGTCACGTTAGTTCTTTCCGTTACATATCGCTCACAAGTATGAGCGGTCTGTACTGAACACCATCCAGGAGTTATTTACGGCGTTTAACTTCTACTGTTTCAAATATGTTTGAGAAGTATGCTAATGCTCCCGGCTACCACACACTAGTCTCTGCGATGGAATATTAAAAAATAAAACAATAGGATGTTGGACTTCAGTTTTCCTGAAGGACTGATACATTGAAAATTGTGTTTGTGGTATAGAGAATTAGTTTGTTACCGATGGAATGGCGTATTAATAGTCGAGTCAACGGGCGTGTCCAGAGATCTCAAGGAAGCAATCCTTCACGGATGATCCCTGAACACTGTATTGGAAGGGAGCACTCTCTCTCTCTCTCTCTCTCTCTCTCTCTCTCTCTCTCTCTCTCTCTAGTGAGAGTCGTGGCTGTATTCTGAGATAACATTAATATAGTCTACATCTCTCCTAACTGTTAAACCACGAGTAAACTTCTTTGTCAATAACATTTACAGAAATATGATTGACTTG